ACTGTAAACAGAAGGGCAGGTAATTATATCAGGTTTACTGATATAGGTAATATAAGGTATATAAGGTAAACCTTATATACTGAATATAAATATCAGTAATAAAGAATGTTCTATGACAAGATCAAGAGGTACAGGAGCTCAGTCCTTACAGAGAACAGCGAGCAAGAACAGAGAATGTAAAGTCTTCTAACTGTTGATAAATACTTCTGTAGGCTTCAAAGACTTCTGCATTACATCAGCCCATGATTAATATCACTTTCAATGAAAAACACACCAAGGTTACTAGATATACTTAAGCATAAAAAGCTCAAAGGGAATACTGCCACTACCTCAGACATCACAGAAATTTTCAGACCTAGTAACAGGACACTGATTATCTTTTTCCACTGTTTTCCTATAGCTTTTCCTGTTGTGATTGCTCTGCCTTTTTTTTTTTTTTTTGCTTTTTCTTTTTAGTTTTGTTGTTGTTGTTCTTACACAATCAACATACTAGAATTTTGATAGGATTTTGATAGAATTTTGATAGGATTTTTAGCATCTGGTAAAATGTTGGTTTTGAATTTGAGTTAGTTCCACGAAAGAGGCATACTTTGGTAAATTTTAGTCAAACTAATAATATAACTTTAAAAGCCAAAAAACTAGAGTATAAAGGACACAAGTGATAACAGACTTTAGAAGGCTTAGCAACTTGATTATCCTGCGTGCTTTGTGAAAAAACATTTATGAAAACGTGTGTTCTCTGATTGTTTTTATAGAACACTTAAAGGTAAGTCACTTCTGTCTTAAAGGAGCATTGTGTGTTACGGTTCCAACAATGCAGTTCTCATCTGTATTTCAAGATGGAAAGCTGTAAACCTCTCCTACTGAATTAAATGGCTTTACATTTAATATTCTTTCCTCCTCCCAGAATGTGAGCTTTGTTTGTGTGTTAGATTCCATGCTATAATGATTTTCTACTTAATTACATTCTATTTGCAGTTTAACTACTACAGTCATTAAAAAAAATGTCGCTAGCTAAGAGAGTTTCAGCCTTTTAAACAAGTGGGTTCAAATTTTTCCTGCTGAAAATAGGCAGTACATCTACACTATGTTTTACTCGCAATTGAGGAAGTAACAAGCAGTTTTGAAAGACATACAGAGCCTGTCACTGTACTTTAAGGTATCACCAATGGAAAGAGAGCACGCTGAGGTTTTAAATGCATTTTGACTTTCAAAAACTTGTGACAAAATGGCAAAATAACAAGTTAAAATGGTACTAAAGGATATTTGCAGTAAATACACTCTGGCAAGTCTGGAGTTTTACTACATGGAATTTTATGAAGTAGAAGAGTGAAACTATTTCCTACGTGGTAATGGGTATCAACCAAAGTTTGTACAGTCTTAGAAACAGGGCATCAGCTGCCACAATAAGGATTTTTGAGAATCGCACCACATCCTCTTAAATGAAAAACAATACATAAAAAACTTGACACAAACAGAGCCATAATAGCCCACACTGTTGGACATTTTGCCCAGAGTCTCCACATCTTTACCTTCTAGACAGAGACTCCAATTCTTCTCAAGTGTTTTGGAAGTTTGGCTACTACTAAAACTGATTTTAGTATTAAAAACTACTAAAACTGATGCATGAAAACATGCATCTGAAGCCAAATATTAGACAGAGGCAGGGGACATAGATTCAAACAGCCTAACTTACATCCAAGTATCAAGTCCACCACAGAACAGAGATCTTATTTAACTTCATCCTGGATATGAAAAGTTTTCTATAAAACCAAAGCAAACTGAGCAATAACTCTGCACTTGCATTAGGCTTTGAGATCTGGTATTTATATTTCAGCCTACAGGAAAGGCTTATGTGCTTTAAAACTCATCTAAAGTTTTCCAACCTTAACATTTGCTCCTACAAGGTATTATAAGCCTTGGTCTTGTCTACTTCCTTAAGACCATCATGCCAATAGCAAAGCTCCATCCTACAAACCTATGCAGGTCTTGAAAAATTATTTTAAGATTCATTCACTGAAAAAACTCACTTCAAATTTCACTCATCAGACCACTAGCAGGAAATATAAAAGATATCACATTATATTCTTCTTTATCTGGTACAAAGATGGGGGGGATTTCCTATGCAGTACTGTAGAAATTTGTAATAGTTTGGCTGTCTTTCCATATCAAAAGTGAAATACTTTTGATATTGAAATGAAATAAGATACCAGGTGTGTGCTGGTGTGCGCATACCACACACTCATTCAACAGTCATAGCAGAGGAAATGACTTGCTATGCATTTTACCACTTTTTTTTTTTTTTATACTAGTATCTGTACTATGGATATAAACAGGTATACTTTTTTTTATTCCCTAGAATGTATCTTCATATATGAGAAATTTTCAGCACTTCTTTTAATGAATAAACAATGTCAAATCTTTATTTCCAGGCTCTAGTTAGACAATACTGTAATAATTACAATCTGTAACAGAGCACTAAGGTACCTGGAGAGAATGCCCTGCACTGAACATATTTGGGCAGTGCTTTACAATATCCTCTTCATACATGAAATGTCTGAAACAAGTGTTTCTCTCACTGATCATCTGGAAAGGTCCCTATTCAATTTACATTTTCTTCCCATACAGCAGCACTGTGTGTAAATGTTAAGCTAACAAGGCTTAAAATCTCAGATAATCACTAATCACCAAACCAAATTCTTATATGTCAGTAAGCGAGAAGCCTGGCAAAGAACTCTAAATATAGCCAAAACTTTATCAAGTTTTAATCTGTACTCATCTCTACTTTTTTTTTTTTTTTTTTTTTTTTTTTTTTTTTTTTTT